GCATATAATAAGGAATGAAGAGGAACAGGAGAAGGAGATCAACCTCATTTCCTCCCAAAGTGTCCCTTCTCATCCCATTGTCCCTCCCGAACATATGATTCCCCGCACTTTTTGTTCCAGTAACACGAACAAAAAGAAGTATAAATCAAAGAAGAAGAAGCATCCAAAGAAAATTTTTTATGAAGAAAATGTTATGACGATGGCTGATGGACAAGATTTTCATTCCCAACCGTCAGAAAACAACAATCAATATACAAGTGAGTCCAAACCATTAATTAATATAACGTGTCGTGATAAGAAGTTTGTAGGGCTCATTGATAGTGGTGCTGTAGTGTCTGTGGTGTCGAAGGACACAGTAAATCGAATTCATCAACAAATTGATGAAAGCGATATGAAGTTGAAAGCTGTCGATGGTAAAGAATTGTCGGTTATAGGGAAAGTCAACCTAAAATTATTGATAGACAATGCGTTATTCATTCACGATTTTCTTGTGGTAGAAAATATTAGTCATAACCTCATCTTAGGACAGGATTTCTTACTTCGAAATAATGCGATAGTAGACTTTTATAATGAACAATTAATAATCAAACATATTAAGTGCAAGTTTAAAAGACAATATATACAAAAGAATAATGAAAGGAATAGTGATAATTCGGTGTATGATGAAAATTTATATTATGCCGAATAGGTTGATAGTATAATAATATCGTGTTACTAATGAGATTTTATTTCAGTTTATTGTTTATATGAATGTTTTAAAGCAATGGTGGTATGTAAATAAGGTTCAATACAATAGTCATTTTAGAATTTTATTTCAAAAGCATATTAAATATAACTTTGTCATTTTATTAGAAATTTTTTTCAATACACATATTTTAAGGAACTTTTACACATTTTGTTTATGACAGATCAATAGGTAGTTTCATTAAAGTATTTTCATTTCTTTTAATTGTTAGCTTTAGTGTAATTTGTTGAGTAGGTGGATTGTTGATATGGTAATAACCATAAGAATGATAGGTAACAGGTTCGATTCTCTGTTCAACTTGGAATTATTCAATTGACTTTGAATATGATCATTGATAGGATTAATTCAGCATTAGGATAGAATATATATAGTTAATAATGTATAATAGGATAATATACGTCCATAAAGAAAATTCCCCTATTATAAAAAAGGAAACGGGTTCGATTCCCTGTAAGGTTAAAAAAAATAAATAAATGAATAATAATGTTATACTTTGAAAATTTACCCAACTATGGAAAAGAGGCTATAAAGATTTATCATAAATGTTTTCTTGAATATTAACTTACCCGACTGAAGAAAAATGGTGTAAAGAATTTTACTAATATTTTCTTGATTGTTTTATGTATTACCACATGATGCGGACTTCCCGAGAGAGAGCAGGCTGGCGCTCATGCAGACGTCAGCGATACTGACGATGATCCACCCTGAAGATGATGGAGACACCCTCTACGAATTCGCGTCGTTTTCGTTTCAATTTGGTCGCGTCGCGTTCGTCAAAATCGTCACTTGTAGTAGTTTGACTTGGGGGTAGGGAACCCTTAGTATTCCATGGGAATTGGGTTTAATCTTGTTTGATGCTAGATGTCCTTACCCAAAATTTCTATTACGTTTGCGCATCATGGGTGTCTAATAAAGTACAAGACAATAAAGTGGTGGATCACGTCTGTATCTTTATTAAAGATGTACGAAAGTAAACATTAATTATAAATTCTTTTAGGTTTTGCTCAAATCCAGTTCAATGTTTACGAATCTTAGGAAATAGTTTGAATTTCGTTCCGTACATCTACTTAGTATGGGAAGTAATGAAGTTTCAAAATATAAATTTTCTTGATATTTAATGGTTTAATAAATGGGATAGGGTAAAGTTTTGCTGATAGATGGGATAAAATAAAAATTGCTTGGGTAATTTAAGTTATAGCTAGGGTTAGCTTTGTTTTTTTGTTTTTGCCGACTGATGTCGATGTAAAGTAAAGTAAAGTTAAGGTTAGGAGGGAGATGTACGAGGGATTTTGTTAAGGTTTTGCTCCCGTAAAGTCTTTGCAATAAAACTTTGCAAACAGTTAGGGTTCTTTTCCGTAAAGTTTTTTTTTGCAAGTTTTGCAAACTTATTGTGAGGGCTAGTCTGTAGTAAAGGCCACCTCCCAGTTGTATTTATGTCCTTAAGCAGGTAGGGATTTTAGATAGGACCGTCGAACCCTCTCGATGTAGTAGGTAGGAAAAAAAAATTTTGTTCGGTCATCTGGTATGACAAAACAATTTTTTTTTAGAGGTGCCGGAGGGATGTAACGTCCTCGACGTTGCAGCCTCCTTGTTTAGGTAAACTCTTTGCTTTTGCAATGTCTACGGTTGGCAGTTATATTAAAAAGTTAATGTCATGATTTTAAGATTTGAAATAAGGAATCGTCTGTCTTTTTGATAGAAGGTTCCACTCAAGATTAGATCTTCAGGCACCAAGAATTTCCTCTCGTATTTAGATAAAATACTTTTATATTAGCCTGAATGATAAAACAAAATAAATAATTTATCTCTATCATCTTCTTTCAATTAACGTCTACGCTCCCAGGTTCTATCCCTTCTGGGTAGAACTCTATAGTACCCACCTAGCCGGATCTTTGTAGAGCGACCATACTGAATGCTAGGGTGGCTTGGTAGTAATATCAAATGGCATCTACTACATTTTAAATTTATCTGTGATATTGGTATAATTGTTATGATTTTGTGCAAAAACACAATTTCTGTAATGAAAAAATGTAATACAGATACGTAATAAAAATGTCAAAATAACATAACCAATAGATGTTCAGAGCAAAATTTCTTTTTTCCTCGGCTTTCTTTCGTCGTGATTCTTACATATATAAGCTTAATAAATTACGCAGAATCTAATGATATATCATTTGTTGAAAGACGCAACAATTTAATTTGAAATAAAAAGATGTATGGGAGTTGACCGATGTCCTTTCCCGGTTTCCCCTACGATTGTTGTAATAACTTACTTTAACATGGGACAGCATAGAAAGTATGACTTGATAAGTATACTTTGTAGGCAGTTAATTATTTTAAAACGTTTTATCTTTAGTCATTTTGTTTCTGAGACATGCATTTACAAAACGCTGTCACATCATATCAGTTAAGAATCGTTCGTACTGATGTGGTCACAAAATGTTGTATATGAGAGCCGAGCGGAAAATAATTTAAAAATAAGACCGATTCTAAAGGAGATTGCTCAAATTGGCCCAAATGCACAAAAAATATTGATATATACGGTAATTTTTGGCGTAATTTATACTTTATTTTACAGTCATTAGATTTTAGCGGACACCTATGTTTAAAATTCATTTTAAAAAGGGCTTTTTATTTTACCGGTTTGAAAACCATACGAATCATTTTTAATGGCTATGGGAGTAGTAACATTTAGCCAAAGACTGATCGAAGTTGTTTATATAACATGAAATCAAATCTATTTTGTAAAGATCGATAATAATGAAAACATTTTTTTATTACACTATGGTATTAATATCCACAACTATATAATCATTTTCACTACATGCAAATGTGCTAAGACAATTATTATAGATAGTAGGCGACATCATAAAGCCTATTACCATAAATTTTTCACCAAACACCTCCATAAACACATTATATACACTAAAAATGTAAAATATGGTTATAATGTAAACATAACAAAAATAATGAAGCTACTGAAGATATGGCTGTATAACCTAAATCTCTTAGCTTTCTTTGGTTAAAGAGAGTTTAAAAATTCTCTCATTCACAATCATCACACAGTTTCTGTCACAGAGTACCTTTCTTATTATAGCCGGAAATGCATAGATGATACCTGATTTTAAAAGTTACTCTTGTGCATTACCTTTAAAAACAGGCAACTATCTGTTAATCTACATGGTCTATGAATGAATCTTGATATCGAATGAAATTGGCTTGATTTCCCTAGTTTACTATATAACTTATTTGATTTTTATTATTTTAATACTTATGTACCTATTTTCAAACATAACCTCAAAATCGTGCAGTGTATATGGTTTATAGAAGTTCTCAGGGGTGTCAGTCAATAATGTTCGTTTCTACAGTAATTTATATATAATTTCGAATCTAGGAAACAATTTTTCATGATTATTGGTCTTTAGGCCAAACATATATGAAGCTGAGCAATCTCCAAATATCTCAAATTTCATGGTATAAGATTGATTGAAGAATTAATAAATATAAAAAAGCAGCAAATGTCGCTTCCGCCCTGTTTCTTTTACGAAAGAACTTATATATTTCAAAAATCGTAATCTATTTTCTATTTTCATACAATTACACACTTATTCTTATTTATCTCTTATGTTTTCATTTGCATCAATCATTTAATAAAAAATATTGAAAATATAAAGCTGATTTTTATTAGTATTTCCATTTTTTAGGATTTCGTAACTCAAATTGAAAAACCGGACAAGTGCGAGTCCGATTCTGTAGACTTAGAACTACAGCCGTTTATATGTTAATAATAATAAATAACCTATACATTTGTACGGACCCCTCAGTAGGCGAGTCTGACGCAACTTGTCCGGTACTTTTAAATCTATCTTGCAACTACAGTTTCTGCAAAGGGACAGAAACGTCAAAAAAAAACGAATAAAAACGCGCGTCAAAAAATTTATTATGATAAAGCTGTATTATTCTGCGTCTGCTTAAAGTTAGTAGGTTACTTTTTACAGTTTTCTTCTTATTTTGCCTCAGAGCATATCCAACTGGTTGAGTTATTGTTATGTTTAGGCTCGTCGTGAATGAAGTAGTAGTGTTTTGTTATATATTTATTTTTAAGCATTTAACTGCTAGATGATTAAATGTAAAGAAAATATTAATAGAAAAATCCAACTCGGGCCAGGTAGCTCGTTATCCCTTTGGAAACCTGGAACGAGTGGCACTTTATCTTGTAGTTTTTTTTAATATTTTGTTTTTTTTTTTGGCGCAGCGCATATCAAACGGGTATGGCGTGTATGGACTCTTGGATCAAGCGGTGCCTGCCCACTGACGGACAGAAGCTGGTCCAGCAGCAGATAGGTGGTGCGCGCGCGCTGATGCGATTCCTTTGCACCAACGAAACTGCACTGAGAAGAGGTAATATTTATATTAATACATATGACTTTAGTTTATGTAAAGTTGAAGTCATAACATCTATAAGCAACATGCATCAATTACGCAAACTGCAAGTTTTATCAGTTAATATTTCTTATCGTTATGAAATGTATAATTTGCTTAGTTTATTTTTTTGCTTTCGTCACTAATCAATTAAATTGTTTATTATTAACTAAACGATATTAGTTTAAAAAATATCAAAAACCGGTGAAGAGGTCACAAAAGTTCATGTTGCTTCGACTTTTTTGATGACTATATAAGGTGAAATTAAATGTTTTAATGAAACTTCGTCGGATTATTGGGTTACGTTTATAGAGTGAAAGCAATCTAAATAAAATACTCTTCTTGCACAAATCACTTTTATTCTGCACTTCACTTAGTACACTATTTTCTAAGCGTCTTTTCCACGCCAAGAACTTTAACCGAATGACCGACCGTGTGACTTGCCAGTTGTTTTATAGTTTTCACTTTTTGTCAAATCAGCAATGGTACATTATTTCAACCGCGCGGGAACGGCAAGTCGCGCGACCGGATAAAGTCAAATAAGCAACTTACAACTAAGTTCATACTACCCAATTAGATAATTTACATCGATTGCTAACAAGAGTATCTCCGAATGTTTCCGGATTTTTTAAAATTAAAATGATTTAAAAATAAAAGTTTATGAATAAAAAAAATAGAAACCCACGATGGATAGACTAGAGACTGCGCACTCTCACTGCGCTTTGCACCGCGCATAGATAGGTAGGTAGGTATTTAACGGCGGGAGCGGTCATTGCTCCCGGTCGGCCGTCTTCTGTTTTTCCGTTTTTTTTAGTAGTGCTTATTTATTACTTGTTTTTTACTTACTCTGTATGCGTATTTAAAAATAATAATTATTTAGTACCCAAAAAGAGGTAAGGACTTAAAAAATAGCAAAACAAAAACAAAATTTATTTTTAAATCATTTTAAATATCCGGAAAAATTCAAAGATAATAAATAAATAAGATAATAGATTCTATATACGTTACCCAACAATTCCACGAAGTTTCATTGAAACATTCAATTTCACCTTACAAGTACAACCATTGCGCTCAAATAACGCACTGAAAGAAGCTCGCGCTTACCGCTTCTACTGCGATTCATTAGTTAAAAATAATTCAAAATGTTAATTGTTAACGATAAAAACACAAATAAATACAATGCTTTGCAATTCGTCAGTTTAGTATTTGTTAATTAACTACATTTTATTTATTGACAATATACCAATAAATAATGCAATAATATGACTCTACTACCACTGCAATAATATGTCAATAGTTAAAAACTGTTTTTATTTGTTTAGTTTTGTCTGCGATTTTTTTCCTCAGTACGTTTGTAAACAGTTGCCAATGAGAGTTGGTAAATACTGACAGTTCGAAAGAGATGAACTTTAAAAAAGTAATATTATTGAATACACTTCTTTAAGTTGAAAATGCATCTTAAGTATTTTACAATAACTTCTAATTTTCAGCATATATTTCTGAATCTTTGATGTCGCCACTTGGCAAACGAATAAAATACATACTTATTTTCCTCTCTTCCTCAAACGTCTTTATGATATAAAAGCTTCTTACCATTACTCGGTTCAATATATTGTTTACTTCCTCAAATAAAATATCAAGTTAATGAATACCACAAAATTGCTTATTGAATTATGAAATTTGCTGAATTTAATTTGGACAATCAGATCAGTCGCTTTCCGACTCAATGAGTTGAAAGGTTTAGCGGATTTTATATACACACATAGTACAGCGCCCGCCTGAGGAGGTATCTTTCTTAAATCTCATGAAAACGAGATTATTTCTTCCTGGGTCTAGACATGGCTTAAAATCGTGTTTATCGTGTCGAACTTTTAAACCATTTTTACTATTGTAATTTATTTATTACTATTACAAATACAATTGAAAAGTTTTTATTTTTTAAATCAGCCATCTTTATTTATATTTTCGAGAACAAAAAAGATTATATATCTACCGATCATTTAGGCACAGAAAAAAAATAACATCATTTAATAAAACATACAGCTTCTGTAAATGATGCATGTTGCTTAGACTTTTTTGACGTGTGTAAAATGTATTCCGAATATATTGAATATACAGACAATTTATACTATTTAAAGATTTGTTTTTTATCCAAAGATTTTACGAGTATGTGCGTTTAGAACCCATATAAATATTAAATAAAAATCCAATTTGAAATTTTAATTCCGTAAAATAATATGAAATTTTGTGTTTTAACTAGAAGCAACGACGTTATCACCTATGCTGACAAAACTTTAAACGAGTTTTATCTTCTTACGCTGAAGTAGGTACTAAGTAAGAATACGAGAAAACCGGCTCTCCTGTTTTGACAAAATTACATAACATGCTCATTTTGAACAAGATTTCGTAAATTTACGGTGAATCACACTAATATTATAAAGGCGAAAGTTTGTGCGTGTGTGAGTATGTATGTTTGTTACTTCTTCACATCTAAACGGCTGGAGAGCTTTTAAAATAAAATTTTGTATGGAGTTAGCTGATACCCTAGATTAAAATATAGGCTACGTTTTACTGCGGGAAATTATCCCTAATAAACAGTGGGAAATACCGCGGGGCACAGATAGTTCATCAGAAATATCAATTCGTTTTTGGATATTTCTTTTTATGTTAAAAGGGTACCAAACAATCGTATGGCCCGTCTGCTGGTAAGCGGCCACCTATAGAAGCTTGTGATATCTACCAAAAATATTACTCGTACCGTTGCCTACCCTGACCTAATCCCCTACCCCGTGTAGGCCTGGAACCTTACTCACCGGTAGAAATACAACACCACCATAAGATAGTGTTATTTTACTGTAATAAAAAATGTCTTTGGAAAAATAAATAGCTTCGCATATGCTTTATATAATCTTGCAAGAATTACAGACATAAAGACTGCAATTTTAGCATATTTAGCCTATGTGGAATCTTGCCATAGTTATGGACTCATAACATGGGGAAATGGTATGGATATAAATCTATTATCTATCTATTGTCCAAAAGAAATGTATTTGAGCCATTTGTAACATTGCACCAGATGTTCCTTGCAGACCGTTCTTCAAAGCATTAAACATATTAACTTCGCATATGCTTTATATAATCTTGCAAGAATTACAGACATAAAGACTGCAATTTTAACATATTTAGCCTATGTGGAATCTTGCCATAGTTATGGACTCATAACATGGGGAAATGGTATGGATATAAATCTATTATCTATCTATTGTCCAAAAGAAATGTATTTGAGCCATTTGTAACATTGCACCAGATGTTCCTTGCAGACCGTTCTTCAAAGCATTAAACATATTAACGCTACCTTGCTTATATGTATTAGAAATGGGAAAAACAGATAAACAAAACAGCCGCCTATACCAGCAACTAAGATAACACAAGCAGAAAGGACATTGGGCAAAAATGTATGAATGCTGCACCCACGTCCGCCACTGCTTAAACTACATTTGTTGGTTTGGGGGTCTTTAGTTATTTTAAGATAAATATATACAAGTACTATACCGAGCGAACATTAATGAAACAAGGGATTTAATTTTGTTAGTTAGTTCGACCCTACATAGAGGGCTCAAGTATTATGTGAGTACTTCACAAGGTGCAGGGTGCCGCCTTATGTTATTCTGCCGCGCTAGAGTAAATCCAAAAATCACCGCATGGGTTCGAGTTTTTTCAAACATTCTGTTCGTTATAGTAAATTGTCTTCTATGTAAAATGGAGCGACCACAAATCACACAAACTAGTCCACAATCCGGAGAAACATGATTCCAATTCATCCATACTAATTGACAAAATCGATAATCGTGTTCCGATGTCCAAATCATGTTAGATAAAAATCAATCAAGTGACAGGGAGCGCATAATCACAACAAAGTAAGACGAGTCAACTATTTGCAACTGCTGTACTGGTTGTATCGTACGATATGGCATATTATTATGGTTACTAATAATATAAAATGAACGTTCTATAAATGAATTTATTTAGCTACTTAAATATGCCCATGTGTCATATCTTTTTACTACTACGATATTTTTTTACTGTGTCATATTAAAAATGGCTAGTTTTTCATAGATCTATCGATTCATACTAATTACATTGTTGGCGGAGCTGGGTGTGTTTTGCCCATTGTCCTTAGAAATTTGAACAACCTTTATTGAGTACCAATCCCAAAACTTCTCGTTTCAATAAAAATGGTTATACAATGGCTGTAAAAATGTATAATAAAGTTCTAGACAATATTAAACAACTACCCTACAACAGGTTCAGGATAGTATTGAAAAATTGGCTATTGGATAGATGCTTTTATTCTGTAGAGGATTTTTTGAAAAATAAGTCCTAAATATCGAAATGGTTGTCGATTTTGGATTAATTTTATTTTGAATATATATCATATTTTATATAATATATTGACATGAACATTACTTTTGAATTGACATTAGGAATCGTAATTAATATTGACATTGAATTGAATAATACTCTAAAATTATCATATTGAAATAATTTGTTATTCTATAATAACATATATATAAATATACCTATGTATATCACATTAAATTGACATAAAATATTTCATTTTGAACTGACATTGGGAATTGTAATTACTAATTGTTATGAAATGAATGATAGGTAAAATGAGAATAACAGTCATACTGTTAAGTTTTAATGCTTATGTTAGATTTTTTTGCATGCTATTAATATAGCTAAATAGGTTTAAGATTATTAGCTTTTAACGTGTGCTTTATATGCAAACACCTTTTGTCAACCCTATTTAATCCAAAGAAAAAGTATTCTATTTTATTCTAAGGCGGGGGTTACTTCCCCAGACGGGCGCTCCAATGGTGAAGCAGTTTATAACTGCTGTATCAGCTGTCTTCGCGTTTGGACTTTATCACCACTTATCATCTGGTGGGGTAGAGTCATTTGCCTACCTCCCT